AGAATACATAAACTTAACTTTGTATATTATATTATATTACACGACACTCCCTTATCTTTTAACCAATTACCGAACACCCCTTGGTTTTGTAAATGTTTGTTGAACACACCCTGTAACTTGTAAAATTAGTTTTTACATTATAAACACTTATATTAGAAGAGAAAAACATACATATATTTCAATTAATTGTAACTTATTCAGAGTGAATTAGAATTGCAGATTATAATTGATTCAAATTGGTTATTCAAATCAATAAATGTTAATAAACATCACAATTTGATATTACTTTAATACGAAAACTAATTGTGGACTACAATTAAAATTTAGGGGCCGTTTATCAAACACTTACCCGGTAAGCGCTTACCGTTAAATTTAACACTATCATTTACTTACCAGATAAGATTTTAGTCCACCAAAACGGTATTGTATGCAACAATTTACCTGGTAAACGCTTACCATGGTAAGGGTCATCGCCTTCACTTACCGGGTAAGATTCTTGATCCTTGCCATATTCATTCGGTAAGGTAAAAAGACTTGGTGTTCACTTACCCGAGTAAGCGTTTGGTAAACGGCCCCTTAGAGTTGTTCAACAGGTGGTACAACTCGTTCCACTCGTTAAAAAAGCAGGCTTATACAATTATTCTCGAAAAAATTGGCAGGTTTGGACAGGACCGCTAAAATCAATGGACGACCTTGGGTAATGAAAAAAAGAATTTGGACAAGTCCGTCCAACCAGTTATATTATTATAGTTGATCAAACTTTATATATAATTAATAATTTACTGTTTTTTATTAAAAAGATTTAAAAGTAGTTTTGAGTTGGATTCCCTTTACTGAGTGACAACTGTCACCTAAATATATATAATATATGATATGTTATATTGTTATACGATATGTCTTAAATCTCGATCTTGAAATAACCCAGATTTTAAAAGTTGATAAATTATTAGAGAGAAAATGTCCTTAGTCCATATATTGTGAAACTGTTTTTTTCATATGCTATGTACATTGATATTGTTACGTCTTATTTTATGCTCGAAAGAACTAATGTAATTTAAATGACTTTACATAACTTATGATTTTTATATAATTATTGTTTTTCAAATGTAAAAATTAAGCCCGTTAGCCTGTGGATGAACCCGGCCGCTTATAAAGTTGGTACGGGCAAAGTCCATAAATCCACAAAAACGGACTTGAATTTACTATACTAGACCCGTTAGACAAAAAAATATATTAGACCCAATCCAAATTCGTAAATCATCACCTCTGAATTAAATACACACAACACTCTCTCGATAAGAAAAAATAGGTTGTTTTTTCACTCATTTTGTCTTTTATAAAAAGGTTAAATGCATGAAATAACAATCTACTTTCATAAATTTTATTATTATAGCATTCTACTTTTATTTTTCTTTATTACAACAAATTACTTTCAAATTATTTTTTATTAAAGTATCGCACTTTAAAAGATCTACTCATTATAGCAATGAGTAACCTGTTTTGTTATCTTTTAAACCGGTTAACCTCTTGACTTTTTTTGCTTGTGTGACTTTAATGAAGTGATGTGGATGATGCATCATTTTGATGACTAAATTAAAATAAAAATAAAAACCTATTTCAAATTATTATTAGTGATTTTCATTTTTCATTGTTATGATTTAAAAAAACATTTAATTTTTATGACTTTTTCTTATTAAGTTGCATTCAAATTAAATATTCTAGAGTAAAATATTTCTTAAATAAATATGATACATTATTTTCGAGATATATTTTGTTTGTAAAAAATGTAACTTTTCTTATTTTATGTTGTTCAAAAAAATACATATCTTTTAAAGTTTTCTATAAAATGTTAACGAAATAAATTGTGTTTTACCATTTTTTAATATTGTTATATTAATAAATAATTAAAAAATCTAATTAATTTAATACATTTATACGTCAAGTAAGCTTTTTGAACAAATATAATATATTTTCTAAAAGATAATTCTTTTTTTTTTTTGGTAAAAAAGAAACAATTCTTATTTTTTTTAAACACATTTTTAAAAAAAATATTAGCAAGATAAGTTGTCTTCTACTAGTTTTATTAATATTGGTATATTAATGAATAATTTAGAATTTTTTAAATTCATTTAATATATTTATTAAATAACAAGTAAAATATCTAAATATTAAAATTAAAAGTGTACGTTATTTAATAAGAACCAGTAGATATTATAATAAAATAATTTTGAAAGTACAATGTTGTAATAAGAAAGTTACATCAATATAGTACATATGTGGACAGTCTACGTGGACAATGAAGTGATATAAAAACCTTGCATAATGAATAAATTTAAATCAAAAGGTTACCCAATGTTATAATAGATAAATTGTTCAAAGTACTCTATTCTAATAAAAAATAGTTTAAAAGTATATTACTATAACAAGAAAAACTAAAATTAAAATGCTATAATAAAAAAATTTATGAAAATAATTGTTATTTTGTAATTTTACCCTTCATAAAATGTATGTGTTTGAATTTAAGATCACCAGGAACCCCATTGTTGGAATCATTGAACAGTGTACTTTTATTCCTCTCTTTCTTGTTTTGAAATCAATTGAGAATTTTGTAGCTTTCATTTGTATGTTTTGAAAATATAAATTAACGGAACCGGTGGATCACTTGAGTGCAATGTGGAAGCCATGAAAGAATATCTTAAACTCTTCGATCGTATGGTCAACCTCGTCGCCGATCATCCTGTATAACTCTCTCATTCCTTTCTTTCTTGATTTTATTCGTCGTGTTTGCAGATGGAATTTTGGGCTTTTCTTGCAGGTATCATCTGAAATTTCACTTGTTTAATTTATACTTCCATAATAATGGCTAAACTTGATTTCGTTTTGGGGAAAACATTTGAAGCTATTCCACCAAATACTAGTAATTGCGAGTAAGCAACATCAATTTTAGATTTGATTTCAAAAGTCCAATGTATTTTGCCACGAAAGAAGCTGTAAATTGATAACTTCGATAAGTACATGTTTGATACTTGATGGTGTTCGTAAATGAAATTTCAATGTTTGTTTAGCTGCTATTAATTTACAGACAAGACTAAATTTGTCATTCTTTAAATACTTTTTCTGTATATTTATTTGCATTTTGTTATGTTTGGGCTTTGAGAAGTTTAACAGGCCTATGCTTGTTAGGAAAGAGTTGTGATCATTGATCTGGTAATCCTTTTCTTTAATTACGCAAGATGATAAGCAAGGCTGTTGTGACTTGTAGATATCTCTGTTTACCGGTTCCTAACAGTTACCGGCTATATATCCACATTATGTTAATCTCAGAAGAGGATCGGAGGCCAAAAGGTTGAGATTCTATGTTGATGAACCTGCTTACCCTCATCTTCATTGTGTAATTTTCTACCAAAACATGTATCATAATAATTTCTATTACCATATGTTGATGGAAAACGGAAATGGTTGCCATTGGCCCCAAATATTGGATGTTATGCACAAGCAGAACTTGAAACAACTAGAGGATGGTTTTATCATTCACAGTCCCACCTCAACTTCAACCCAAGTGAGTAAGATTGTTATTGAGGCTCTTACATGGATTTTCATTTAGTACTAAGTTGTGTGTACTTTGTACTCTAATGTAAAACATATTGAGGGGAAAACCGTTATTTTCTTACTTCTAGCTAGCGTAGATCCTTATGAACATTGAAATCTATCTTGCACTTCATTTTAGGGTTGGCAAGTTGCTTTTTTTTCCTAATGTATTTGTTCGACTCAATGTTTTCTTTGTGTTTCACTTAATTTCAATGTATAGTGGTGGCCTGGTGGATTGGTGAAGTGTCAACACATGCTGTTGTATATGCTCGACTTATAATTTCGTTGATTTATTGAATATTTTCAATCTATTACACTAGTTTTATATTTATATATATATATATATATATATATATATATATAATCTTGTAATATTTGTCCATACCAATTTCACTGATTTGTATAAAGGGATTTACACCTGTTACCTTTGGAGATATTACCACCTACCACCTAGGCGTAATCTAGGGTTTTTGTTTGCTAGTTTACCAAACAATTAATTCAGATGCTTAATGTGTTAAGAATCTTAGACTTTTACCAGTTCTTAGCATGATGGTGAATGTCTTTTGTGATGATTCTTTTTAGAAACAAAGTATATTATTTATTTTTTGGGGGGGGGGGGGGGGGGGGTTGTTTCTTTATGTAAATGGGATCTGGGTATTTGATATACAGAGGAAGGAGATAGGATGTTTCTACTAGAGGGAAAGGTGATTGGCGTGGGATTGCAAGAAATTATGTGATTTCAAGTAGCTAGCAAAGTAGCCATGCCCATATATTTTCAGGCAAAACAATATGTCAAGGAGAAAGAAACGGTCTAGCCTCTTCGATATGGTTGCTGATCATGTACGCATCTTGTTGGGTTCCTTGCGGATAGCCAAACAAAAGATAAGTAATCACAACACAAAAAGTTATGTGGTTCATCCATGAACCAAGGCAAACTAGCAGTTCCTAGGCTTCACTTTACTAACCGAGCAATGAAACATGTTTTAAGGTGTTTGATTTATGAACAAGAATAGGGGGATGTTTAAATTAGTCGCAGAGTAGGTTGGAAGTAATATTTATGGATTGTTCTACTCCTAATTCAAAGAAATTGGTGTATGCATGCTGATGCTTCAAGTATTTACTTGATAATTGTTGTTCTTCCTGTTTCACGAATTCTGACTTATCCTTCTTAAAGGACATCTCCCAAGATCACAAATCGTCGGGAAAGTTCCCTCCGGGCTCTCTCAGCTACTTCTGAACTTTCTAGCAACAAGCCCCCTTCAGGGGGCGGATGGGAGGAGTGCGAGAGCTGAGCCCGCATGCTCTGTCAGCTAGTGGACACAAGCAGAATGGGACCTATGCTCAAGCTCAATATCATATGGGTTGTGTTCAACATTAAAAAAAGATGATAGAAAGGAGGGCAATCTTTGGAATTGAACAACAACAGCCAACACTGGTCTCCATTTTAATCAGTAACATTCAATGCTTTCACTTACTTGAAATATAAACAAAAGAGTAGCATGTTATTCAAACAAAGTTATAAAATGAGAGATGGAATTCAAACATTACTGCCAATATGACACTTACTCAAAGGAACTCAGTGACTTGATGATGGATTCATATATCTTAATTCCCTCCAAAAAAGTTGAATCCTTCAAATACTCGTTATGATCGTGGAGTAAAATTGGGGTGTTCTTCATAGGAGAAAAACCAAATGTGGGGATCCCAAGTTGTCTCAAATATCTAGCATCTGTTGTAGAAGACAATATCTCAGGCTTGGAAAGTTCCCCACCGCAGGCTTTAATAGCATCTTTGAAAACACTCCACCATGGATTTGAATCATTTGTAGCAGTCATCAAAGGCCTCCCCATATAATCCCTCAAGGGTCCCTTCTCAACAATATCATAACTCATGTTCCTTGTTGCAGGTGCCCATTCTTCACCAATTCGCTTCTTCAACAGATCCGGATCAACAGTTGGTGGCAACCGAACATCATAACCTGCTTCCGCCTCAGACGGTTGCATATTCATTGCAAAGTTACCATCCCCGGAAGGAATTCCTGCTTTCAAATAAACCAGGTTAGCCGAAATAACCTCCGAGTTTGCCAACACCCCAGCCTTAACCAAGTCAAACTGATTTTCTCTAAACTTGGACACAACCTCAACACTCTTCATTAAATTCTCCATGGCACTATTATCAAACATCCTTGAACCATGTCCCGGCATACCAACAGCCTTAATAACAAGATTCCAAGGAGATCTATCTGCATAAAAAACCCGATACTGATCAGTAGTCGAAGCCTGCCCCTCGTCTAGAAAGAAGCCAACATTCAGCTGTTTGAACTCCTTTGATTCAACAAACTTGGCCATCCCATGCAAACCACCAATTTCCTCATCAGGCACATAAGATATATGAACTGTTCGTATAGGTGTGAAGTGAGGGTCTGTTAGAATGATGTTTCTAATGGCTTCTAGGTACTGGATGGCGATGCACTTGTCATCCTGGGCTCCTCGAGCAAAGATGTTGCCATCATCAGTTCTGACTGCAGAGAAGGGTGGATGAGACCATTTGGAGGGTTCAGCAGGGACTGAATCAATATGGGAGTTGAGAAGGATGGATTGGAGTGATGGGTTTGAGCCAGGGAAAGTGACGAGGAGGAGAGGCTTGTCTGGGGTGGCTGGGTACAAGGTTCGAGTGTGGAGGTTGGGGATGGATTTGGCCAAGGAATCGAGGAAGGAAACGGCGGTGGAGTAGTCTGGATGTGGGTGTGCAGTCTTTATTCTGAGGTAGTTCTGAAAGCGAGAGATAGATGCTTCAGCATCTACAGGTGGTACTGGTTGAGCTGTTGTTGCCGAGAGAAAGAGGAGTAACAAGGTGTACCAAATTGGTTTGACCATGGTGGTGGTTACAGATCCTGCACTTTTTCAACACAGAAGATTAGGGTTCAACCCCTAAATCCAATTCCTATTTATCATTTGGAATTGAATCTTGAGTCTAAAGTCTTAACCTAGGGTTTCAAGTTTCAGCAGAGTGGATAATATAAATGGGGAGCAAAGGTGCCGTCTAAATCTGGAGCTAAAAGATGTTTTTGTTGATATATTTATCATCATGATTTCCACACTTGTCATTTTCAGACCAATTTCATCCTTTGATTCTTTTTTTCTTCTAAAAACAAAGATTTATCTCTTAATAATTTATAAACTGTTTTTTAATATGATTATTAAAAAATAAACAAATAATTCATTCTTTTTACGATCATCGGTTAAATTCTAATGATAAAATGGGTTGTTTTTGGGTTTTTGATCTGAGGAGATATTAAGTAGTAGGATTAAAATTAAAGAAATTATAGAATTGCAATACAGCGAGATACATCATGATTTTAATATTTCATTTTATTATT